TGGTTTGTTTGGCAACCAACTCACTGACGCACATAAGATAACGAAAAATACTCCCCAAGGACTATCTCCTTGTCCCCTTCCAAGTGTAATACTACACACAGGTTAATATATTTAAGAACCATTATCCTAAAGGACATCAATAAGAAAAGTTAATGTTTCTCAAAATTCAGTTTCTGCTACTAGGTTGGCTTAAAGAAGGAGGAGTGAAAATTATTAAACTTCCAAGTCAGAAGTCCCACAATCCACTCCTGATTCTCCCACCTACCTGTTATACAATCAGGAGCATATGACCTATCTGGGACTAGTTTCTCATCTGTAAGGGGACTTAACTAATTCTGCTTCTTCAGAGCTTTAAAAAGGAATTATCTCACAATGATTTAAGAAGTAAATTTTTAACATATACTGTGGCAAACATAATGAAACAAGAATTAAGGCATGTATTAAACATAAACCCAAAAATTCTTTCTTAAAAGTTTGGTTGCTGGAAATTTTCCTAAATTCCCTTAAAGTCACATAAAATAGGAAACAATACCAAAATACACCACAAACACTAGCAAACACTGCAAAAAATAACAACAGAAAGATGGGGGAAAAAAATCTCAACTTCTCCAAATCAAAAATGCATTCAAGTTAATAAAAGTTCTGAGAAAATAAAGCACTACGTTCTAGATGAAAAATGGTTTAAATTTTAATCAAACTATAGCATATTACCAGTTTCAGGTAAGTAAATTCACCCATTATAATTTTTTTAACCTTTAATCATTATTCTCAAATGTTTTTTTCACACAAATGCAGAGCAAAAATATTTGGTCTAGTAGTAGTTTACCCAAAAATGGTTATGTCAGGGTAATGAAGATTAGAGTGAAAAATACAGCCATCTACAGCCACTCCTTGGAAGGAAGGTTGGGCAATCTACTTCCATAGTGATACCGCTTCGGAAACCCAAGGAGGGTCGTTATGAGTTGGGTCCAACTCCACGGCACATAACAACAACAGCATAGATATGTGAGGGTCAAGACTCTAATCAGCACACGGATATCATAAATATCAAAAGGGGTATTCCACATTTTGAGTGTGTATGTGTATCCATATCCATATCTACACACACACACACACACACACAAAATTTCTGAGGACATGCTTCCAGCGTGGGACAAGTCCAACTATCATCAAGTCCAGCCGTTTGAGTACTGGTTTGAAGCCCATTCTACTTTAAAATAAGTTAATAACCGCACCTAAAGAACATAAACTTATGTAGCAGCCACTGACAAAGACATGCTGACCGACCCTTTACAAAAGCAAGCAGCAAACTCCACTGAATAAGAGTCTAAAACTATTATTTTCACTGGGCTTCAGAAGCAAATCTCCGTAATTCAATTTCTCTCAAAATCTTAAAGGCACCCTTTTAATAAAGCATAGAACACCAAATGTGAAGATCTGATGTTTCTATGAGTAACATTCAATGGATCATTTCATGTGCTTCATTCTTTTCTTCTGTAAAACAGTAAAGGCAGAGATATTTCAAGAAATACAATTGGAAAAATGAAAACAAATGTTTAAGTTAAGCATGGCCAACCATTAGTTGCAAAAACTAAAAAAATAAAATACATAAAACTGCTCAAGAGCATGTTTGCCACATTTTAAACACTCAATAAACTGTTAGCTGATGTTATTATATACCAATTTGAATCAAGTCTAAAGATACAAAATAGCCAGATCAACAAATGACTGTGTAACAAACCAAATCTTCTCCATTACCAAGACATTCAAAATTTTAGTTAGCAGAGAGAATAGTTTTGCCTAGCAGATAATGCAGTGGAAAAAATAGCAGCTTAAGATCTCTGCACCAATAGGTTTCTAAATTATTATTTGTTTAGCCTAAATCTTTGTTACTAAAACCAAATTCCTCAGGTAAATCTGTCTTTCCCATTACTTTCCAATTGATCAGGCCTGAATATCCAACCATGGAAGCAGTCAGAAATTCTAGGTGTGCCTTTCGAAAATGCTCTTTGGAGTCCACCACTAGAATTGTTTTGGTGAGCTTATACCATTTGTAAATGGAGATAATACCAAAGTGATAATTATTTCGAGCCCTAAGAAAACAACACTTAGTCACCAAGAAGTAGGATGCATAAAAAATAAAGGACATGACTGACTTGAGAAAGAGGCCCCAACTTTTTCTACTCCTTGGCTATATAACCTTGGGAAAGCCAATTGACCTGAGTCTCATTCTCTTTATCTGTAAACTGGGAGTAACCCTACTTCTCTCCCAAGGTTGTTTGGAAGGACAAATGAGAACACATCCAGCAAAGTACTTTACAAGTACAATACAAATATATATAACACACTGATCAGGATTTTTTCTTGTGGCATGAGCAGTAGCAGTTTCTTAAAAATACATATGCTAGCTAAGTTATACTCTTGAGTATGAAATTTTGCTAAAGTAAGCCATTACTGTTATTCAAAATTGCTATTAAAAAAAAAAAAAAAAAAAACTTGCCTTGGATTGAGTTCTCTGTCCATTTCTCATGCTAAATTTCTCCTTCATTTCTTCTAAAATTATCTTCAGTTTCTTTTCTTCAGGTGTTCCTAAGTATTTCTGGTTCACATGAAGATAGCAATGCCATTTAGCCGATTCAAAGCCCCAGTGGCAAGTCCTTTTGTCAGGTGATCTGTGAGAATGCATCACAAATGTTTGGGGTGCAAACATTCCACAGCATTCCAGACACTGAATACAAGGAGCATCAGGCTGAATATAAAACTGGGGTGCAAAGAGACCTTGACATTTGCCCAAGCATTCATGTTCCACTTCAAAGGCACTGCCAGTTTCCTTTAACTGGGCCAATGAATTTTTAGCAGGAAGCATGCTACCATTTTGAGGAAAAGTGCGTGGCCGCAATAATGCATTACATAGTCTTTGTGCATCAGTCAATGTGATGAGCCCACAGGATGGAGCGTTGAATGGAAGTATTCCCAAGACCTTTAAAATATGAAGCTGGTCTGAAGTACACCTTGAACAATATATGTACAGTTCATCACACACTGTATTTATTTGCTGGAGTGAAAATTCTCGGAGTACAGAATTTAAGACTTGGGGCAAACAGAGTCTCTTTTCTCCTCCAACTTGAAAACAAGAAATAGACTCCCCCTCCAACACAGTCTGGGTGAGTTCTGTGGAGCTATCTGAAGGGATGAGTAGTGGGCCAGGAAGAACTTGAGGAGATGGAAGTGGCAAAAATACAGTAGGTGACATGCTTTCTTGGGAATACCGAGCGGAAAATGCTGCTGGTCCACCCAGTGAACTCTGACTACTTAAATGGAATTGTGCCAATGTGTGTTTCAAACTGGGATTTAAATTTAAAGGTTCAGGCACAGAGGCAGAGGTTCGCTTGACATGCTCTCCATCCGTTTCCATTGGCGCTTCTCCATAATCATCCAAGTGTTCCTTCTTTACTGTTGGCACATTATTTACCAGCATTTTTCCATTTACATGAATGTCTGTCATCATTTTTTTCACTGGAGGACTGCCATCATCTCCCATCCCCTTCAGTTTTTTACTTGCGCTCTGAACCAAGGAGAAATTTGTCTGTAGATTTTCCATTGCTCTACTATTGTTTTAAGAAATTAAGTCTGAAATTTGCATTTTTATTTGTTATTTGAAAAGAAAAAAACAATGTATACAAATACTTAGGATAACTTACTCTCATAGAAAATTTCACTTTTCAGAGAAATCCTTACTCAAAAGATTTGGCAATTTTGTTCTAGTTCTGCTTTAATTCTAACATAATTTCACAGCAAATCTATGAAATTTTATCTTCTGAAAAGGTCATTTTTAAGAGGTACAACAATGAGGAAGCCTTTGTTTGCTCAAATTCTTCAGCTATTTGTATTAAAGCAAGCTACCAATTTTCTCCATTCAAGGCATCCAGGTTCTATTCTTTTAAGCAAAACACGTGGCAAGTTTATGCCATTATTTGTATCATAAAACCTAGTCAAACGCCAAGTCAAAATGATGCCACCAAATTTAATTTTTGCCACCAAAGACACCAAACAAGGAGGAAAAATGTATCCCCTGTATTAAAAACAGAACTTCCACTGGGTCTGTGTTGACAAATTGAAGGCTTGTAAAAATCCTCACACCCAGAGCCTCTGACTCCACTTGAATTGCTACAATCAAAAATGATACTTAAAGAAAAACTGGACCATTAGCTTCAAGGATTACAGGTCATTCTTCTTTCAATTAATCTGGAAGAAGAGAAGGGGGATGGGGGAAAGTTACATTTGAATTTGCTCCAGAGGCCAAAGGGCCAGTTTAAAACCAGTTTCTTAATCTTAAACTAAGTTCACTTTACCAAAGGTGACATTTCAATCATTTCTTTAAATCTAACACCAGTTAATTTGAAGAATCTATTTAAATAGGAAAGAAATTTGAAAGGTGGGTAAATGATATCCCTTAAATAGGAGAGCTACTTTTAAACTCAGAATATGCAGAACCTTAAAAAGAGCTCACCTTCCGAAAGCTCAGTACCTACCATAAGTTTTCTCAGTTATGTCATTTAACTAAGTAACCTATTACTTCATTTCCTAATTAAAAAAAAAAAAAAAAGTTCCATCCAAAAAGTCAGATGCGTGTTAACATACCTACCAATGCAACGGAGTTAAATCTTAAATTCATTAATTCATCTTATAAGTGTATGCTACTTTTCTGAAATGACTATAGTCAAAAATTAACTTTCCCTAAAAGGTTGGCGAGTTTGCTTAATGAAAAGCCAAAAACTATAGATTCCACTTCTGGGAATCTCCATCCTTGAAAAAGACTAATCCTAATCCGGGACAAAAAGCACAAGGAAGACAGATCTCACAAAGAATGCAAATGGAGGAGAAAAATATTCTTTCACTTCCTTCTATAGAGAAAACCCAGAAGAAATCCAACGAATGGAAATTCTTGCCCCCTACCTCCCAAAAATTTATCTTAAAACATGCGCAAAGGTTTAAATACAAGGGCATTAAGCATCGTACAGACCTTCGCCCACCACAGGGACACCTCAGACAACGCATGCTGAGAAGAGGGCAGGAGGCATGACCTAGAACGGGGAAGCCCCCAAAACCCTAATGTTCTCTGCCTGCGCAGTCACCCACTCACCTCAAACACGAAAAAGGTGTGGGGACTAGCGATCTGGGAGAGCTGGGGGTGTGCAGGGGTTAGTGGGAAGTAGAGAAATCCCCCAACCCCCACCCACGAGCTCGGGACAACTCCAAATGTCCTCGCAGCCCTACCCCACTGCGGGGGCCGCAGGGTGGACTGTGGAAATCCCCCACGCACCGTCTCCCCAGGAAGTTTTCGGTTGTTACCCCAGCGCCCCTCAAGCCACACTTCCCCACTCCTGGGGCAGAGAGAAAAGGGGTTTGAGATGGGGTAGACGCCCAGGAAGGAGCCCCGCACCGCTTGGAACCGATCCACCCAGGTCGAACTCGGGGCATCCCCGAGGAGCGCAGACAGGCGGGGGGACAGTGACGGACGTCTTGGTCTCTGGGGTCCCGTCGGCTCAGATCAAGTGCACCGCCCGTCGGCCTCCCGCGCCCACCTACCCGGTGTCAGTGAGGTGTGACCCGCCTTGGAACACCGGCCCCACGCCCCGCGCTGGTCCCGACCCCACCTGGGACCCGCGCGACCGAACCCCCGACTCTGGACTCTGGCCTCAGCTCCTGGGTAAGCTGGGCGAGCTTTGTTGATTCCCCACTACCCCCGTCGGGCTCCCCGAAGGCCCCGCGCCCCCCGCCTACTGCCGCCTCCACCGCGCCTCCCCCTCCACTAGCTGGGGCCGCACCTGTGCCTGCCGCCACCGCCGCCACTCGTCCGCTCCCTTTGGCTGTGCCGGCACGGCTCCGAACCCCACACACATCGCTACACACAGCCCTCTGACGTCACCGAGCCCTCGGCCCGCCCACGTCACTGCGGAGACACACGGCTTCCCGCAGACGCCGCCGCCGTCTCCGGCCGCCCGGGGGAGAGCGAGGGCGGCAAAGAGTGGGGTGGGTAGAGGAGCTGAGCCAGCAGCGGCCTCGCGCGCGCGGGCCCGCGGCGTCACTGCCGCCGCCGCCTGAAGACTCCTAGCCTCTTGAGGACGCGCGCGCCGTCTAGCCTATTGTGGCTCCTCAGGTCTTTCCCCGCCCCGTAGTCTCACGCGCGCGCCCCTCCCCCCCAGGCGCGCGCCCGGCGTTCCTGGCCCCGCGCGCCGTCTGGGCGGCTGGCGCGCGACGCTGTCTGCGGTGCACCCGGCGCAGACAGGATGTTCCCTCCCCGCCCCACCCCCACCGCCGCCCGCCCTCCTTCCTTCCTCGAGTAGCCCAGCCGGCTGTCTGGGGCTGCCACCGCCCCGCCCGCTACTCTGTGGTGTCGGGCCAGACCCGGGGGCGCCCTGGCCGCTCAGCCGCTGCGCGGCAGGGAGGAAGGGGGCAGGGCGGCCGCGCTGTGCACTGTGAGCGACCCCAGCAGCCGGCAGGGCCCGCCTGGCAGAGCGCCGCCGTCCGAGGTCAGACACGGGCGCCCCTCCCCCCGCAGGGCCGCAGCTGGGCTGCCCCGCCCGGGAGGCAGCCGAGCGGCGACCGCCCTGGCTCGCCCCCCGTGGGGGCCCTGCACCCCCAGCCCCCGCCCCCAGCCTGCCCCCGCCCTCGCGGGGCCTCACGCTCAAAGGCCGCTCTTCCAGCTGCCAGCGCCCCGCCCTGCTGCCTACCGCCTCGCCGGTCGCCTCCGCCCCGACGCCTTCCCTGAGCTGACCTCCATTCGCCATCCGGCCAAGCCAAAGAGGGTAGCCAAAGTTCCGGCAAAACCTAGAGAAAACATTTCTTTCCCTACTTCTCAGTCTCCCGCGTGCCTCTCTCACCACACTGCTCTCTCGTTTCCAAAAGGAAAATATACACTGCGTGTTTTTCCCTTGTTGGGCTTGGAGGGAGCGAGGGAGGGAGAGATAGGATGGAAAAGACGATTTAAGAGCTTTCGGTTGGTCAGTGTTCCCAGGGCAATTAGTTAGCATACTGAACTCTGCGGAGCTGCTCCGTCATATTTCGAAACACTGAGAAATCCCCCTTTCTCCACCCCACCTCTAGATCAGGAACTGAAACAGTCTCCGAGTCGCAATGCACAGAATTCAAGGAGACATAAGCTTTGTCCCCCACACACACCGTGTGTGTGTGTGTGTGTGTGTGTGTGTGCGCGTGTGCGCGCGCGCGCCTATTTCGTCCCAAATTTCCCTGGTTTTACTGTTCCAAAGTCACCCGAAAGGAAATCCACATTTGAGAGTAGCCGACCGGTCTACTCTTGTGCTCGAAGATTTTTTTTTTTTTTTTTCATTTCCTTCCATTGGGCCTACTAAAAGCTCACTCCTTGCATACCCACCTCCAAAGGTCCCCTTCCTTACGCCCCCAATTGCCTTGCTCCCAGGTCGTGCCCCCTCCCCCCTTCCCTCCTTGACTGCCTTCTTTTCTGAACATGAATAATTCCGCAGCACTTCCCATCTGTTATTGCCATAGAGACAGAAGCTCAGCAAAGATAATGATGTTCTGTGCAGAGTCAGTGGGGAGAGAACAGCATCTGCGAGTCTAGGGGGATGTAGATTTTCTAACCTCGAGAATGTTCAGAAGGCCTGGAAGATCTGATGTGGAAGACTGGACAGAACTGAGACTTGGCACCGGGTCAACTCTCGGCACCTGGTTCATGTGTCAATCGAGAAGAGACAGTTATTAGAAACCAAGATGACAGATTTTAAAAGAAAAAAAAGTCATCCCAAAACTGTAATTAATGATAAATGTTTAGTAGTCATTTTATTAGTCATAAAAACAATTCCTTGCCAAAGACCTAAGGACCAAAATAAATTGGACAGTAAATAAGACTTTTGAGAAATCAAACATTATTCTCCCCTTTTCTTTTGATTTGCTTTCCCCAGGAATCTGTTTTTGAGAAAAGGCTCTTTTGTGTGTGTGATTTTATATGCAGTGGCTTGAGAAACAGTGAAAGGCAGATGTGGTTAGAACTACTCAAGCTTCAGGAGCATTTTTTTTTCTCTGTTCGTCAAGGTACAAAATGTACCAAATTAAAATTCACTTTGCCCTTGAATTCCCGAGGCCCACAAGGTTACAGGTCTGAAGGTAACTGAAACTGAGCAGGGTACATTTACATAGGTCTTACGCAGATGGCCTTTTGGTGTGCAGATGAAAGGCTCACAGCCACGTTTTTTGCAGGTTTAAGTAAGGAGTTTTGAAAATTATCAGTAAAATCGATTGTCTAATATGAAATTAAAAGCACTGAAAACAAATGACAATGGCTTTTTATTCCAGAAAAAGAATTGAACCAACACAGAGAATATAGGCTATAGAATAAAGAAGCACTGTGGAATAATGAATGTTGTAGTTCCTACATAGTGATCGGTGTTGAAAAATCAACAAAAGTATTGTAAATAGCTGTTATGTGGATTTTGTGTTGCCTCACACCTCCCCTTGGCAGACAGCGGAGCTAAAAAAATTAGGCCACTGTAATATTGTGCGCCTTTGAGTATGTAAAA